CGTAGGTATCGATTGGTGAGTTTTTTTTGTTGATACAATAGCTCGGACAGCAGCAGTTTTTGCTTTCGGCGCCTACTCGTAACCATTAGAAGTTCGATATACGCAACCCACATCTATTCAAGTTAGGCCTGAGTTACCCGCACCTAAACAAAGTCGATTTTTGCAGTAATGGACGTTGCAAGATCCCTTATAATGAATTTCAATGGCTGGAAATTTTGTGTGAATTATTTTTGTTTGTCTATTGTTGCTTAGGTGTTGAATTGACGCAAGGTCTAGGAGCATAGCAGTGTGTAAGTAGCACCAGGGTGCGAGTGTGTGCGTATCGAGTGCTAATGGAATGGTTTTGTGCTGATTTTTATTTAGATTAATTTATTTCGTGCATATAGAAATTGTTAGTCTTGTTTTTTGTTTACTACTAGCAAGTATGGTTGGGTTACATGTTACTGTTTTTATTGTTAGACATTAAGAGAATGCATGTTTTTTTATTATTGGATATGATTGGTCAATTCTAATTATTATGGTTGGCAGTGATTGACCTATGATGTTTGGAAATATGTTTGAGATGAAATGCATATGCTGATTTTATGTTATGTAGTTTTATGTTGTTTAGTGGGAAGCTGTTGGGTTATTGCTTTGTTGGTACGATGAAAAGCATGCTGGAAAATGGTGTTGTGATTGGGAATGTGGATTGCTTATAGGTTGTCTTCGAAGGATCAGAGGGGATTGTCAAGAGTGATGGGACGGGTTAGTTGTTTGTTTTTCTGTGGGTTGTCTGCAGTGAAAATTCATACTAGTCGTTTGGTTATTCAAAGCCCTTGTAGTGGATGACTTGAGGATTATGTGATAAAGTCTTAGCGTATGACGACGTTGCAAATGTGTGGTCCATCGTGTAATGAAAAGTGGATGTACGGGTTTTGTGGCCTCGTAGGCAATGGACGATGCGGTTACGTCACTACTGGATGTCGAGGCTCCGGGGGTAGAAGGCCGGGGGTTGACAGACTAGTCTTGGTAGAGATGAGTGCCAAGGTTTCGGGTACAAAAGGTCG